TAGAGCGGCAATACAAAGATAATAATTGGCGCAGCGCACACAAACGCACACTTCCTGGTGTGCAATACATTGGACCCATCTAGGGCGCAACGAATAAAATTTCGTTAGCCCAACGCCGGAATCGGGATGCTTGTCTTTGTATATACGGAAGGCCTCTCGTATTGAGCGTGTCATGAAGCGCTTTGGCACGAACGTTTTCTCTCCGTTGAGCATGACAGAGATGACGTCCTTCTGGTTGGGACTTTGGCGCGAACATTGTAGCTCGTCTTTCGTGAAGTACCCTAGGGCAGCAGACAGGTTCTCAGGGCTCACCTTGCACCTCGTGTAAGGATCCGGCTCATACCACACGCCATGCTTTTCCTTGAGTTTTCGGGATTTACTGATGAGGTACATTGAGGCCTGTGGAATCATCTTTTGAACCTCATTCTTCGTCAGTGTTGACGGCAGGAGTGTAAGCAGTTGACAACGTTCCCGGAGAGAGGTGGCGGTTTCAAAGGCCTGCCGAAAGTTGTCCACCCACTCAGTGCATGTGGAGCATGTTGGTTCGGACGACCCCGATGGTGCGTCCCTGTCGTACGCAATACGTAGCCTTGAGCGTATATTCTTGACAGCAACCTGCTCCAGTTCTGTCTGCTTTCTCTTGACATACGGGCAGGCCTGTCCCGACTTCTTACGACGCTTGGTTGTCTCAGCGGCGACACATCTGTAGGTAGGATGCTGCGATTTAGATCTTCAATTGCTTCTTCAGCTGGCACAAATATGTCAGGGCACTGTTCTGAGCTTCGTATCGAGATCTCCTTAGTGATGTGCATGAAGCAATAGTAGCACAGGTAGTCCGTCGCACTCACTTTGGTGGAACAGTCAGGCGGAAGAATTTGCTTCAACGAGTTTAGGTCCAACTCGCCAACACTTCGAAAATTCCGCTGCTTTGGTATAGTCTTTTTGTGTTTGCAAAAGTAATCTGCACAAAACACTCGTTCGGAGCTCCAGGACGTCTTCATAATGTATGCATAAATAATAGAAATTAAACCCCAACTGATGGCATATAATTGCCAAGTGAAAGAACTACTGGGTGCACAAGTGACAAGTCCGAGGCTGAGGAGCTCACTCACTGCAAACGTACATTTGAAAAGAGAGGTCACAACTGAGGCTGTCGGCAAAGCTTGATCCACGTCAAAGGAAGAAAGAGGGAAAGTCTCCAGACAAAAAATTGTGGTCAGCGGCCTTCGAAAAAGACTTTCCGGAATCGCACTGTCGTCCCTCCACGCGCTGATATGAAAGCACCCGAGCTTCTACCACGTGGTTCATGACACAGCCTGAGCCATGTCGGCGACCGGTTCGCGAGGGGTTGGCGGTGGGGTTAAGTTGATGGTCACTCGTATTAGCCCTTGCTGTACTGAGCTACCGCCTGCAGTGCCTTATCGCCGGCTGGTGTCAACAACAAGAACACACACACCCTGTCTACACCAAAACTACAAGCGTTCACCGCACACGCGTCGCCGCCGCTTTTAAGCTTTTGTGAAATTGCTTTCTTTTGCCGCGGAGAACCGCCTTATCTTAACTACGCGCCTGAAATCCTTCCAGGCGGGCGTACACAATATCAAGCGTTTCGAGAAATGCCCGTGGAGTAGAACTATGGGAAAATTCGGAGCCCGCGATGTCGATATCGTCGCCGTTGTGTTAGTACGCCGTCGCGTACTGCAGTCCCCCGTTGGGGGAGGGGGGGGGCGGTCTTACTACGATAACATGGCGACAGCGTTTACACTCTATGTATTTACGCGAGGCTCGAGTATTTGGGGATAATGCTGCCGGTTGGTGTGCCCCTTTGTGCCTGATATTATCGCCCGTGACGCCAGCGAGTGAGATGGCGACAGGCATGACTGCTCAGTAAACAGGCGTCGGCGGCCATGTTTTGCTGGTTGAAGCGAACCCTCTTGTCCTTGGCAGCGAGCGGGGAAATGCGAAAAAAAGATTGTATCGGCCGTTTTGCCAGAACTAGCGACGAGTGTCGTCTGCGGTTTCCGGCAACTATTTTGCCATAATCGTGAGCTTAGCGAGGAAATGATTTTTGCTAGCCACAGAACACTACCACGCAGAAAGGGAATGCTTGAACATGTTTTTGTTCTGGATATATATCAGGGATATATATGAGAGAGAGGGAGAGAGAGAGAGAGATATGAAGGTAGAGCGGAAGAGGGAATAGCATATAGTGTCGCAGGAGAATAAAGTAAACAAAGTTCCTAGTGGCCGATGGCTGCATGATCTTTCCTCGGATCACTAGTCCGTAATATGATACCTCTTTGTACACAGTAGTTTTTCCTTAATTTAAGTGTGTGAACGATTTCTTTAGTTATCATTGGCCTCATCTGAATAAAAATATATAAAAGATGTGTGTTGGTTTCATGAAACTGGAACTCAGAGTCAGTTCTTGTATAAAACACTGCTAAGTGTAGGCTTTGAAAAAGGACCCTACTTTGGGGAGTTGTATCTTCTTTCTCAATAAAATGATGCAACATGTTTTTAATGGAAATGAATGCCAAAATAGAGTATAACAGGTTACCTAAATTAAAAAAAAATCGAGGGTGGTGTTTTTTTTTTTATTCGCATCGGAATTTTTCTTTGCTTGATTTTTTTTCCATGTTTGACTAAATATATCCTAACTATTGTATCACACAGATACCTTAGTTATTTTTTAAATATTAGCTATATATTAGTAGAATAATATCTGCAAATTATATCATAATGATTAAATTATTTCATGAGATACAGACCTCCAAAGTTTGCCATTTGTCCTTCGAGCAGGCATGTTTGTTAATTTTTAGAAAAATAAATAAATTTTAAATAAATATGATTACTTTATATTACAAGCAAGCTATACCCATAGTTTGCGCCTAAAACGTATTAGAGTTCTCCTAATGTTATCGCTTTAGTTATTCACTCTCAAACGGGCCCCCTCCATCAGTGCGCGTTAATGCAACTGTCCACCACCTCATGCATTACGATTTTTCCTGTCCCCAAGTATTTTTTCTAGTCAAAACTAAGTTTGGATTCGTTCATACCAGACACTAGACAATAACATATAAAAACATCAGTTGATTTGAAAATGTCGACTAGCCATCCTTTGGTCGATCTTATCTGAAATCAACCAATACCATATTGCAACAGGACTAGTAAGCAGAATGAACAAACGAAAATTAGAAAAGTCATGTCCTGCTGCACTCAACTCAGAACTAAAAACAAAATAAAATAATGAAATTTCAAATTTTATAACAAACTAAGTAATCAAGCTGTTTTTGTTCTAGTATGGCGGGGATTACAGCAAAATAACGTTGTTATTAAATAGTACTTCAGATTTGCAAAAATTCTTTCTTCCGTATTGTTATCAGCGATCGGACATATTGATCAAGCAATCTGACGTGTTGAAAAATACATCTAGTGGTAAAGAGTCACTATTTTCTCGCTACAATTATTTAAATCAAATTGATCTGATCTACATAAAATAAATCTGATATTAATAAAATAGCCAACACAGCTGTAACCCCCTCTGCCAAAATCCCTCCTAGGCATTGCAGTTTTTTCTCTTAAAGGAATAGATACACTTTGAATGCAATTTGCAAGAGTGCTGTGAGTATTTTATAACTTACAAACGAATAAACGAACCCATGCAAACAAATCACATATGGCTAACGCAAAATTAATTAAATTTAGGTTGCTTGATATTTCCTAAAATTTGATATGCATCTCGATCAAATTTTTGATCTACCGAACTGTCTATTAAAACGATGATAATTTCTGCATAAGGGGAGCGAGGGGGACAAAGGACAAACAAAAAGCTCCTATCGTATTGTTATACCTGTCCAGCTCGCTTGCACTTTTGCGTTAATTGCATTATCATCATTGTTTATTAAACGCTGTGCATACCTAACGAAATATTTTTTAAATTATTATATGCCACTTCACAGAAATAAACCAATTTGAAGCTTACGTGATATCAGCATGTTGAAATGATAAATATACAGAGGTAGACTACCTATGTCACCGTTCAGGACATGAGAGTGCGTGAAAACTGTTGGTACGTCGCACATGCGTTCAATTCAATTCAATTCGTTTTATTAGCAGGAAGTATACCTGTCACTTAAAGAGCAGACGGACTCATCGCCAGTTGTAGATACAAACACTTTTCGAACCACGACGTTTCCAATCGTATAATGCTCGCTAGTTTCCGTATTTTCCCGAGGTATACGCTGTAGTATAACAGGATAGCTTGCTGGGCTGGTTGTTTCAACGACATGTTAAAAAAAAAAAACAGCGCAAAAAAGACGGGACACGAAGTAGAAGATGGCCACAGGACATACGCTGTATGTCCTGTGTCCGTCTGCAGTAGTAAGGCGCAGTACAGTAGTACGACAGCATATAATAGTTAGTCTGCAGTAGTAAGGCGTAGCAGTAGTACGACAGCATATAATAGTTACTAAGTAAGAAATATAAAATTAGACAGAAATATCAATCCTGCAACCCTTAATAAGACAGCTTTTTTATTATTATTACGGTTGATACTGGCACTACAAATTGAAACTTTAAAAGTAACGTTTCGTAAGGCCCATTTACACTGCCATTCCCGCCCAAGTTTGAATTGGTTTCGCTTTTTCGACACCTGAAAAGTTGAGCGCTGCGATCGCTGCGATTGCTCGTGAACAAACATGGCCGATGCCACATTGATCAGCGCCTGCACCGATAGATACAATACAAGTTACAAACAGCGAATACGACTACGGGAGCTCGAAATGGAGCGATATTCTCCCTTTAGTCAACAAGGACTTGACAAGGACCAAACTGTTGGACCAAACAAGCACGATTGTTGCAAACTAGGACGAAAGGGGAATAAAAGACAAACGAGCCGGGAAAAAAACTGCCGAGAGCAGACGATAGAAGCCGCCACACTTTCGTAGCGTATTGCAACCGGCCGGGTAGATTCGTATTTTTTATTTACTAGTGGGGAGTGGGGGCAGTGGGGGGCCAGCGTCCATGTTGATTTTCGCTCGTTGATTTCAGCCACCCAAAAATCTCCTTGCCGCCGCCACTTTAAGCGCAAATGCTGAGCTGAAGGCCGGGCGCATCGACAACCGTATTTGTGAGTTTCTCGAGCTTGTTCCTTTTTCTTTTTTTTCCTTTCGTGCTTTCTATTGCATGCTGAACGGCCTGCACTCCTTTTCGGAGACGCTATGCGACGTTTCCTTCTTTTGTATGACGCCTGTGTGAAACGAGCAGCGCGGTTTTTCTTGAACTAGCCGTTGTGGCAGGTGTTGTTTTTCAGCGGTGGCAATCAGTTCATCGAACGACGTTTCATCAACAGCTCAGATGAGCTTCTTTTCTGCTACGAGCCGCCTCAGACTGTCGCCGGGAAGCGGCGTGTACGGGTGGGCTAGATGGGTTAACATTTTCGTAAAAGTAAAGTTATACGCACTCCGTCGTGCACTTCGGCCGGAAATGGCTATAGGCAGCCGGCAATGGCCAGGCGGCTCCACGAGAGTACTGCATTCAGCGCCACAAGCGGAGGCGTCTCTGTTAATGGGGCGGCAAGTCTGCCCGGCGGGCCGTTGCGAGCGGCGGTGTCCCCGATTTCAGCAGTCCCCGTGTGCACCTGCGTCCCTGCGTGCCATGTCCCTGGTTCTTTTTTATGCGGTTTTTAAGACCATCGGGAGCCTTGAGAGGTCTAAGTGTTTAAAGAATATTCGAGTCGTCATTTGGACACCAGTTTCAGTTCTCTTCGCTACTTGTGGCCACCCGATCGGTCTGTGCTTCGCTCGTCCTTCAGGAAGTGACACAACACAACGAGAAGGCAGCGAATGGGTTTATTGTACATCCCGGTTGCCTGTCTTTGTGAGGCGGTACTCCGGACCCGCGCCGACCCTAGTTGTCACCCGTCGTTCAGAGCTCACAGTCGGAGCCCGTGTCCAGGCCTGCGGATTGTCCTTCCCACGCCAGTGGTGCGTAGGCTAGCTGTTCCGGACTATCACAGCCAGTCTCGCTGCGGAACCACTCCGGGATTGTCACGGACTAGGCCGGTATGGTATGGTCAGGGTTCGCTGCTTCTGCCGGTCCTGATCCGAACCTCGCTGATGGAATTCTCCGGGGTTCGCCATGGGCCGGACCAGCCAGAACGGATCTATCGTTCCTGCCTGGCAGCACGCTCTTCCTCTTTCTTCGCCGGCTGGCCCCCGCTCGCGTCTCACTCGGCAGTCCTCTTCTTCTCCCGACGCCCACACACTAGAATAAAATGTGGGCAATTAGAACCAAACTTTGCATGCTAGAGTACAGTACACAAGCCTCTGTAAAAAGACGACAGTGAACAAAGTGTACGTGTGAGGATATTTACGCTTCGCATGGAGCTTTTTCCAAAGAAAAACTTTTGCATCCTGTTTTTTTGCATGCCGTCATATTTGTTACCAAACTCAGCATTAAATTTGGTTGGCGAAACAAACAAAACTTTGTGCTACGAAAATCCAATATTTGAAATTTTGCAGGTCTGGAAGGTTTTGGTTGCGACCGCGCGTGCCGAACGGCTGTGCACGCGTACAACTATACGAATGCTGGAATGGGCCGACGGACCTCTCGCTTGAAGACCTGATCGCTTGATTCTCGACGTCACAGCGAATCAACGATCGGCCCGATTGTTCCTACCGTATTTCTCTATGTGGCTGTCCAAGTGACTCGTAAAACAACTTCTATAAATATGTTATTTTGCCGACTAGTCTGCAAAACGATCTCGTCAGACCACTTTCGAAACCTCCACATATATTTTTGTTTACTTCAACAATTAATGTAAAATTCACTTACTTGATGTGTCGCACTGCAGTAATCCACTTCTGTCGCCGTGTCGCTTCCCAAGATCTCTAAGGGCAGCGGTAAAGTTTGACGCTTGAGTCACCTTCGCGACTGTGGCAGTTCTTTCACGCAGCAGTAGTGACATTTATTTTTTGGGGGAACTCTAGGAGTAGGCAAGATGTCGCAGGAACCCGCTGAGGTCATAGAGACGTGAAGTTGGGACTTACTTTTACGGAAAACGGTTGGGAAAAGGCACATGCCGACCCGAAACACCACATTTACACGTGGTTTCTGAATGTGCCCGTCCGCAGTCACTACGGCCCATCCCGGCCTGGCCTACCCAGTTTATATTTCGCAGCCGCTAGATGGCGCAACGTGTAGTGCCAAATTGCATTGCCGGTTGCCTAAACGCACTACGCGGAGAGCTTATGCCATTTGGGGTCAGCCTTTTCGAACGGCACGTGTATCACTGGGGAGCTCGTTAACACATCCCCCCGCCTGCATTCACGCCGCTTCGCGGCGACAGTGTCCGGCTGCTAATTACAAAACTTAACCAGTACATGCCGCTTCGCGGCGTCCAGCCGGCAACCGAAGCCCCGCTGTCCCCGATCGCACCTCCGGAAAGGGAGACTCATACCATTTAGTTCTGCGAAGTGTCGTCAACAACATTATTTTTTTTTCCAGTGTTGATTGTGAAAAAGAAATGTCGTATATATCGTCAAATGCCTCGGCAAAGCAAAACATTCGAGAAAAAAAAAGAAAAAAGGTAGGCCCACACCGCGGATCGAACCTGCGCCCACTTGTTTATGAAGCAGACTCCTTGCCACTATGCTATGCCACCGCTTAGGCCCGCTTCAGACGGGACAACTTTTCCAGCGATTTTGAGGTTGCTGGCGGGTTGTTCCCTAGCTTTCCCTAGATCGACACGAATTGCTGAGATCGGGTCCGGCTCGAACAAGCGAGCAACTCGGAGCAATTTGAAGACGTTTGAAGCGGCTGCAGCCTATCAGCGACGCAATATTTTCATGCGACACCCCTGCGGTGCTGATGATGACGGCTAAAGACTTGGTTCTGGTTTGAAATGGATTGTTTTTGAAAATAAACCTTTTCTGAAAGATGAGTTAGTATTCTCAACACCATTCAAAGGTATAAAAACTAGTTTTTATCACGTAGCTGTCCGTCTAAATAGTGCAAGAAAAATGAAATTGAATGATGATGATAGCAAGTCGGAGCAATTCGGTTGCTGCGTATGAGCGCGGGCGGCCCGTGTTGCTGATGTTGCGACGTCAAGTTGCTGGGTGAAATTGCCTTGTCTGAAGCGGGCCTTAGAAAACTCGTAACAATTTGTTTTATGCGAGTTTCGCGTAATGTGTATAGCCCTTTCCGGCTGTGGTGCATGACGGAGTGCTTATAGCTTTACTTTTTTCATAATGAGCCGCCGCAGGCGGGTGGGCCGGGTAGGTTAACACGCACGGCGGTATGTCCCTACAGAATGCAATTTGTGTAACGATGTTGATGAAGCGTTTGTGTTGATCAAACGTGTGTCCAACGAACGTGTTTTAAATAAACGATAGGGAGCCTTTTTTAAGCTGTTGTTTTCGAGATGGCTCGCTAGTTACAATTGAGAACAGTTTCTTTGTGAACTTATGCAAGCTGCAGATAGTAGCTTTTGAATATTGAGGCCCCATGTTTGCCTTTGTTGCAGCTCGGTAACGTTAAAAATTATTAAACAAGACTTCTGGGACGTTTTAAAGGTTTAAGAGTTTTGTTAACTTGACATAAATTCTCACTTTGAACTTTTAGAACTTGAACCTTAAAGGGACACTGACAAAGTATTTATGCTCGTCGACGTTTTGAGTTCTATGTGACATATGAGAGCCCAACTGTAGAGGACACTAGTTTAGCGACCGAACAAGTATGAATCGTGGCGCCACCTCCCGGTTTTGCGATGGTGTATTTCAACAATGTGCTGAATAAACCGGGGGCTTTTTCTGAACCGACACACGTGGCTGGCAAGTCTGCTCACTTTCGGCCGCCTCGGTCGCTCGCACCTGTTCCTTGTGCGCTCGAGCCTTCTTCACCAGCTACCTAGAACAGAATTTGCGGCTCGAAATTCGGTTTCTTTCCGCCCGAAAACCGCCGATCGAGAACTGGCTGGTTTGAGTCGCGCTCACATTCTTTTCCGTGGTGACAGGCCGTTTTCCAAGGTTTAGACACGACCACCACATTTAACCTAAGTCGGGGGTCATTGAAGGCACACAGTCAATATTAAAAATAGAAAAAAAATATGAAACCCATTTTTTGTGGCTTCCAAAGAGCTGCAAATACGTTGATTGAATAAAAAAGGTTGCACAGACAACCAGAAGCATTCTGTGCGTTTACTGCATAATTCTCAACATGGCGTCGTTTCGCGTATTGTGGGACTTGCGGATGGCAGCGGACGACGGGTGTGGGACATCTACTTCAAAACTGTCGTTCGCGGTATCAGCAAATTTTGTCTGCCTTCGAAAGAGAAATTTTGGACCGATCAAAAGAATTGGTATTCATCCCGTACGACATCGCCGACCACCAAGCCGATTGCACGAAGATATGGTGTACACCATAACGAAGACGTCGCTGAGCCATCGTCCCTTCTCGTGGCTGAAGACATTGCTCGCGCAAACATCAAGCACGAAGTGCGTATTTCGAGTCGAATATGCACGCGTACGATTTCTGTCCTAGCTGCGAATGTGGCCAATGTGTGTGGTGCTGCCCGACTTCGAGCCGGGAGTGCATGTACTGGAGGGAAATCAGCAGCAAACTTTCCGACCTGCAGTCCACCAACTGCATTACTAGAACGAAAGAGTTCTCCCTGTAGCTCAGTGGAAAGACGTCCACTTCTCACGCAGCGGGCACAGGTTCAATCCCTTGTGTGGGCGTATCTTTTTTTCTTTCTTTTTGTGAAACATTTTGTTATGTTTACATTTCTAGTTTTGCAATTATCACTGAAAAAAAAACGATTGTAGTGGACGATACGTCGCTGAACTAAATGGTGTGGGATTTCCTTTTTGATACCTGCAAACTCAATGTAGTCACTTTCCACAAAATGCAAGGAGCATGTGAATCGGGTAGCGTTCGCTTTCTGAGGTGCCTGTAAATGTTCCACAGAAATTGCAGCCAGCCATCGGTCCCAATCCCGTTGATCTTTTGGAAACTTGTGCAGACTCTGCCGCACAATGCAATTTTCAGATGCAGGAAATGTGAGGCAGCTCTTCACTCAACGTCTTGGGGTATTCTTTTCGGAGCCAATCACGGGAATTCACCACG